GGAAACTTCTTTGAAGATTTAACGAACTTCCATTGATTAAGGTAACTGATTAGTCCACATCACATAGATCAGATTGAAGCACAGGTAATTTTAGTCCACGTCAACATCTTGACATGTACTTGCTAACATTACTAATGAAACTAAACCCTTATCCAAAGTATTTTGTTCTTACAAATTTAGAGTATTCAAATAAGCTGTTACAACTATGCAAGAAGCATACGTTCTTCAATTATGGTTCAGTGTATATTCTAGTCCTACCCCTTGGCCTCCTAGCTTAGCTTATACCCTAATTAAATCTTTGATAGTCTCCCATTACATGGCAACGAACAAGTATCATGTTATAAATTAGATTGGGAGATGGATTGAAATTTGATAAAGAAAGTAGACTTATAGAAGCTAATATATTCTTTTATTCCATTAAGATTAATTTATTTGGTTAGACAATAATGCTCATATTGCAAACCAAGTAGCTTATACACTGATTAAATCCTAGATTTTATTAAATTATATGGAAACACTAAACAGAGTATGAAGCAAAGACTGATGGAAGAGTGAATTTTACTTAGATACTCTGTAGCTAGTATTTTAATTATGTTGAATGCATTGGAGCCATGTGATGTAATTTGTCTTTTTGTACTTTGGTAGATAGTGGTTAGAACCACTCAAGTTTGTACAATGTGAACAGCAAGTTTCATAAGATGAAGATGTATGGTCATGTCTTCCGTGTTTTCCCTCAATTTCTCCTCTCTGTTTTTCCTCTTCTAGTGAGCTTTCCGTGCTTATCTTCTTCTGATCTCCATCAAAGACAATTGACACCACCACATAGAGAACCTACCTTAATTAGGTCCAAACTTGCATTATCATAGAGGTAGTGGAGGAAAAAAAAAAAAACATGACATCAACCAACCCAACCACCTGTTGATTATTCTGTAGTCTATCAGAGTTACCCATCATGATTTCTTATTCATTCTCCATTCATTGTTTACAAAAGAAGTACAAAACTTTGTAACACTGAACTACACAAATCAGGTGCTAACT